ACTTTCTGGTAGAATTTGCCACAATAAATTAGATTTTTTAAATGTCTACAACTGATTAATAAAAAGGATTTTTCTGAGTAATGCTGATTTTAACCGTCAGTATTTATATTTGATATCAGTGGTGCAAATAGTGTTTAAGTACCATGGTTTACAAATATTCCTTCCAAGGTAAAGAAAGTTTGCGTTCGATTCTAAAATGTGGTAAAGTAATAATTTCCTTTAACTAGTTCTCATTTGCATTCTTGGTAATCTAACCTAAAGTATATTCTGAGGATTTTGTTCTGAGTAGAAATCTTCATTGTGATAGCAAATTAAAGAGCTATGGACTTAGGGAGCTAAGAGCTGAAATTGAGAAGTGTTAGATGTTAAACAAATGGAAGGTAGTTTGTTTATAACAGTTTATTCTTTTATTATAAGAATAATCTGCCTTCAACCCAAAGAGACAGAGAAATTTTTGTAAGAAAAAAATTACAGAGCATCCTGTTGGCAAGAGTAAAAATTTTCCACTACCACTTCCCCTAAGGGCATTGACATGCCCCGTCAGGGAAATATCACTGTATGTCATCATCAGAATAGCATCACCTACACAAAACCCTATGTCTGAAATTCACAGAAACCTGCAGACAAAGGGAAATTGTTATGTCTTTGTTTGAAAATGATTTGATGGATCTGTCTTTTCATGGATCTTTTTAACTCCTTAAGACAACCTGCTTCTTCCTAGAGTCAATCCTAAATTGATTCTATTACCAACGAAAAGAGACAGAACCACACAGCAAGTTAAATAAAGTCTTTCATTAATTGATCTCATTAAACAAGCTTCCTTAGGCAAGACTCCTTTTACTTTCTGGCCTTAATTCCTGTCTGTAAAAGAGGACCATGGATTGATCAAGATGATGTGAAGGTCTTTCTAGCTAAGAGAATATTAGAATATAGTAGTTTTTAAAAATCGATTGGGGGTTGGGGGGTACCAGTTGGGATTTATGCTTTATTATCTTTCCACAAAGAGATTAGGTTTTTTTGTTTTTGCAGCTGGCTGGTACAGAGAACTGAACCCTTGACCTTGGTGTTACAAGCTCGTGCTCTAATCAGCTGAGATAACCAGCCAGCCTAATATCGATTAAATTAATGGAGACAAATTAAATGTACAACTTTAAGGTAGCATACTTCCCAAGTGTTGAGGCTTAGGGTCTTCTCATGTCATAAAGGGTGTTCTAAACAAGCCCTTTACAGGCTCTATGACCGTAGGTATTGTGGGATTTTCCCTTGTATTAATTTTTTAGATGTATTTGGGAAAACCTTTAAAAAGTATGGATTCCTTGACCCCACTCTAAATGCATTGAACTATACTTTTGAAAAGTAGGTCCCAAGAACCTGTGATTTATAAAAGCCCCCCAGACCAACTTTTCTTTTAATTCCTAAATACTTAATTGCCTCCCAATTAGAATGGCAGTTGTAAGATGGAATAAAAATTGATAAGGGCTTAGGGCCAGCTCGTGGCTCACTCGGGAAAGTGTGGTGCTGATAACACCAAGGCCAAGGATTAAGATCCCCTTACCAGTCATCTTTAAAAAAAAAAAAAAAATCCGTGGCTCACTCGGGAAAGTGTGGTGCTGATAACACCAAGGCCAAGGGTTAAGATCCCCTTACCAGTCATCTTTAAAAAAAAAAAAAAAATTGATAAGGGCTTGAGGTCAGTTTTTAAGGGCTTGTCAGGTCATTTGTTCCTCTAGCATTTGAAGCATTCTTCAATATTTGGCCAATAATGAAATGTGTATCGATACAATTTCTGTACAGCAAAGAGGCACCCTTCATATATTTAAGTAGACCCTTTAGGGGAAGAATATTTGGTTTATTTAATGCTAGTGTAAATACAATTTTTCATGCAGCATATATACAAGGGTACTTCAAAAAGTTCGTGGAGAAGTGGAATTAAAAGATAGTACAAATCTTCACATGAACTTTTTTTTTTACTTCAAAGCACCCTCATATAACATTGGTCCCACCTTACACTAACAGATAATATGTTAGCTGTTACGTGGAAACATTTTCTATCAATTTCAAATCCTCTTAGCTTCCACTGAAACACAGCAAAATAAATGCCAAGACATTGCTTTTGCATCCTCATGTAGGTTGTCCTCAATTTTAATATTAGTTGTGGCCTTAAATGTGTCAGGTATGTGAGAATATGAGCTAGAATTTATATATGAAATTGTTTAAATAGAATTACTATGTAGAAGTATGATAGTATTTATAGATTGTGAGAACCTCTATGACACATTAGACAGAAGTCTTCTGATCATGACATAAGTTGCCTCAGATATAAAGGAACGTTTGCAAATAAATTTTCTATGTAAAGTCATAACATTCATCATTAAACTGGTACTCTTTGAAATGTTTAAAGGCATGTGAGATCAGGTTAATTAGGACGAGCAGAAATAATATAGTAACTTTTTAAAATTGGTTTTAAAATTTCATCTTGATATAGGGTATTTTAGCTGTTGAAGGTCACTAAAGTTTAGAATATAGTTGCTTTATTGTCTTAATCATGTTAGATGTGTTCTCTTCGATGTATTATGAACAGAATTATAATTAAATGAAAGGTTCTAGTTTATTCAGTATGACTGTTACTGTTTATTGCATAAGCATTTCCAGCAGGAATTTCACATTAACCCATGTGTCTCTGCAGTCAAATGCAAGGATGATCTCTGCCTCTTGAGTATATATTGACAAACTCTTTCTGTGGCACCTTGTGACCACATGCCAGCTTAGGAATAATGTTGTCTCATGCACTGGAGTTGAAAAAGCAATCCATATTCTGCCCAACTTGACAAGTTCTGAAGTGCAGAAACATCAGAACTAAATTGAAGTTTTAACAAGTCCACCATTTACTTCTTGGATAGCATGGCTGTTTTGCCATTTTGTCTATAACCAGTGACAGGGTTATCATTCAATACATACAGTTAAGCATGGAAAGTGAAGATTCGACTTAATACCATCTGTGATACTAGAAAGAATTTACTTATTCTTATTTTCAGTTGTCCTTGTGTAAGACTTGCAAAACCACCTTAGCTACCTTTCAGAAAGACATGGAAAGCGGTATTTTCAGCTGTCCTTGTGTAAGACTTGCAAAACCACCTTAGCTACCTTTCAGAAAGACATGGAAAGCGGTTGTACACTTAAATTTAATGTCTAGTTGCTTTTCTGCGGTGTGCACTCATTCAGCAATATTTGAATACCAACGGTGTGCTGGGCACTGTTTTCAAGGTGCATGTGAAACATTGGTGTTAATCTGTTTGTTATGGGGTCTGTGTTGTGGCACTGTACTTTATACACATCAAGGAAAGAGGTTAAGATGTGGGTCTTTTAAGAGCTATTGAAAGAACTCTTTTGCCTGGGAAGGAAGGCTCAGTTGACTGAAAGATCTTCTTCAGATTATGCATAGTTTATTCATTTATTTGATAATTCAAATTTCAAAAGGTACCAAAGGTTATAAGGTGAAAAGTCTCCCTCTGCCTGGTGCCCCAGCTACTACCCAGTGTTACCAGTTCACTATACATTCTCATAGGTATTTTCATATACCAATTGAAGCCCCATATACATGATATTTCATATCTTGTTTTTCCGCCACTTAATATACAGTGTATCTTAGAGAAAATCTTCACTTTGGTATGAATAGAGGTGTTTTATCTTTGTTAACACAAAAACAATACTGTAAATTAACCACATATTGTTGCGAGTTCATCTGTATAATAAATTTCTTGTAGTGTAATTTGTGGGGTAAAAAGATTGTGCTTTGCAATATTGATATATTTTGCCAAATCGTCCATCAGAGTTTGCAACAGTTGTTGCCTTTGTGTGTATTCAGCAGCATATACAGGGTTGCCACAAAGTCTGGAAGGATAGGTGAACTATTAGTACTAAATGGGCTGTTAATATGACATGACATAGTAGTTTAGTGACATTATATACATTCAGTGTTTGTCCCTTGTTAGCAGTGCACTGACACAGAATTTTCATTAATCTCTTCACATGCACCCAATGAGTTGCCCCCAGTGATTTGCACCTCTGGTTTGGTTTGGGTTTTTATTATTCCTTTTTTTTTTTTTTTTTTTTGCTGGTATGGGGATCTGAATCCCTGACCTTAGTGTTACAAGGTTGCACTCCAACCAGCCGAGCTAATCAGCCAGCCCTGTTTTTGTTTTTGTTTTTCCAACTGGTTAAAACTGAACTTTCCAGACCTTATGTCACACTGTATAAGAATGCCTGTTTCTAAATCCCTGACCTTAGTGTTACAAGGTTGCACTCCAACCAGCCGAGCTAATCAGCCAGCCCTGTTTTTGTTTTTGTTTTTCCAACTGGTTAAAACTGAACTTTCCAGACCTTATGTCACACTGTATAAGAATGCCTGTTTCTATATGTCCTTGCCAACTGGGTGTATTTCTCAACTCTTGTTTGTCAGCTTGATAGTTACAAAGTGGTGTTGCCATGTAGTTTTTGGTTTTTTGTTTTGCGTTTGTCTTATGTGATATTGAGCATCTTTTAAAACAGAGACATTTGTTTCCTTTTCATAATAATTTAGCTTTTGGGGTGGAATGAACCATGGTATATACAACTTGATCTCCCTCACTGTGTGTTGTTAAATGTGTAGTAAGCCTAAGAAAATGTTTCTTAATATTGCTGAATAAAAAGGTATTCTTCAAAGTGAAAGCTTAGAGGCCTGAGCATATATAGTCAAAACTCTTTTTTAGAGTAATGTGTATTTAGAGGTTTCCCCATTCTCTTCCTTCTAGTGTAATACAAATTTTCTGTCTATCCAAAGAGTTTTTATGACCTTGAGATAAGTTGATCATCTTGCTTGTTTTAACAGATTTTTACATATTCGTACTGTATACAGGCTAGCTATTTTCTTTTAAAACTGTATTTAAATTGGAGACAAATTCGTCTTCAGATAATATGGTTGCAAAAGTTGCTCATTTTAGTTGTTTTTTTCTCCCAATTAGTTGGTGACAAAGTTCCTGCTGATATAAGATTAACTTCCATCAAATCTACAACTCTAAGAGTTGACCAGTCAATTCTCACAGGTAAATATTATATATTGAAAGGTCATTGAATTTCTGAATCCTCTCTCATATCCCATGATGGTAGAGCAGACTCTTTCCCTGCTGTCCTTTTATGGTATCCCATCTTAATCCTCTCTAGGTTATGTATTTCTTAGTGCTTTATCAATTAGGTTTTTTGTCAATATGGGTTTTACAGAAGATTTAAAAACCAAACAAACTTGGCTTTTATCTCATATCTTTTTAATTTTAAAAAACTCGATTATATAATAAGATCACCATTCTGTTTTTATTCTTTAAAAAAGGCTACAATTTCTTTCATTAGCAGAGGTAAAAATCTTAAGGTTGAAGCATTGTCTCCCTGTTTTGTGGTAAGTGATTTACTTACTCAGTGTCCTTTTTCCAGGCAGGAAAGATAGGTTCCAGTTTTGTCATTTTGTTCATTGGAGGAATGCTAATTTTGCATTTAACATACTTTCCAGTAATCAAATGTACAGTAACAAAAGTTAGCGCCGCCCCCCACCCCCCAAAAATGTGAATGTTTTACTACCTGGAGTTTGGTCACTTAGGTTTAGAATTATTTGGGATGTTTTCCCATTTTTGTATGATAGAGGCACAATCTAGGGTGGATGGTTCATATTAACTGGAAGTAAGGTTGTCAGAATATTAATTTTAAATACAATGCTGACCTGAATTAAATAGTGAGTAAATATAAAATCTAAAGGCTATCAAGATTTACGTGATTGGGCCGGCCCCGTGGCGCACTCGGGAGAGTGCGGCGCTTGGGAGCCCAGTGGCGCTCCCGCCGCGGGTTCGGATCCTATATAGGACTGGCCGGTGCGCTCACTGGCTGAGCGCGGTGCGGGTGACACCAAGCCGAGGGTTGCGATCCCCTTACCGGTCACGAAAAAAAGACACACACACACAAAAAAAGATTTACGTGATTGTCAGTTCTGAAAAGCAACTAATGTCATAGAGGTAGTGATGTGAGTAACTTAGGCTCTATTTTTTTTATATATATATTTTTTATTGTTTCTTTATGAATAGCTTATCTATTAAAACCCCCCATGAGTAGCAATGAACTGGAAGCCAATTAAGCCATAAAATATTAGGGAATGTGTGAAATTCTTATGTATGAATATGATGTGCCTATGGAAACAATTGCTATTTAAAAACTCCTCATAGGGCCGGCCCGGTGGCGCACTGGATAGTGTGCCGCTTGCGAGGCGCGGAGGCGCTCCCGTCCGAGGGTTCGGATCCCATGTACAGACCGGTTCCTGCTCACTGGCTGGGCGAGGCGCGGGAGCAACGCCGAGGCTTGCGATCCCGTTGCCGGTCCCCGGTCCGGTACGGGGGCAACACTGAGGGTTGTGATCCGTTGCCGGACACGGAAAAAAGATAAAAGACAAAAAATAAAAATAAAAAAAAAATAAAAACTCCTCATAGAGGTTCTTGAATGCCATCTTTTGTTAAATAATCATACTGTGGTTTTAGGCTGAATTGAAGAATCAATTTTTTTTGTTAAATATTGAGAGTGAAGTTTGCTACATGCAATTTAAATCAATAATTGGAGACTTATGTCACTTCACTCAGATTGACCCTGACTGTTTAGTTCCTGAGAGATGTTAAATAAAGTTGAAACCAAACTCAACAGGGCGTTTTATTTTATTTTTTAATATATTTATTTATTGTTATTTTTTGCATTCTAAGATGATGTTGTGTAGCAGTTGGAAGGGAGGGGGAGAAGGGAAAGAGGAGGTTGATAGGATGAGAGGAGGAAGAAGGGGGAGTGTAGTCAAGGCCCACAGCACCCGCCTCATTCCGGTAGGTGAAACTAGGGGGCTTTTGGTGGCAGCTCAGGCCGCATGCGGATGGTGGGGCACATGGGAGGTGTGGGGGATGTGGCCAAGTCCCTAGGCCCCGCATCGCCCAGCCTCAGCTGCTGCTGGGCTGGATGTGGAAGTCGGGGAGGCATGGCTGAGGCCCTTAGGCCACCCCCAACCCTGGCTTGAGAGGCCGGGTCACTTCCAGGTGCAGCCTGGTGATCATAACTAAGCTGGCAACGGACCTTGGGGGGAGGGGGAAGTGGCTGGGGCCCTCAGCCCAAACCTGGGGGGCTTCCAGTCCTTCTAGGTTTTACAGGTGTTCTTTGGTGGTGTTAGACTTTTATTGGTTAATGTTATAATTTGTCTCTGATCTGTGGGGTTTTAGTTTTTTCTTTCAGTTTTGTGTTGGATTATTCGCTATTGCCACCACTTAAACTCCTAGCTGGAACTAATTTGTTGTCCTTTGCTTACTTCTAAAATGGATGAACCTCCTGTGAGGACCAGCACTTGAGCCCTGTGGTTGAGCTAAATTGCTTCTTTGCTGCCGATTCCTGGGGAAAGCTTTTGGTGCAGCTTAGGTTTTAACTGTTGACCTTGTAAGAACTTCCAGGTCTTTTGAGGTCTGGTATGCCTGGGTTGTGTGGAAACTCTGGTCTGGGACTGAGAATTTTCATCAAACTGCACCCCCTGCAGACCTGTATTCCTGACCAGTCTCCACTGAGTGGTCCTATGCCGATTGGAGGGCAGATCAGCTATCCATGCAGTCCCTCAGTGTTTCCCCGGTGAGCCCATCATCCCCAGCCCCCAGCACTCCAAACACTTACTGTGGGGTAGGCTGTATGCCGGTCCCTTGTGATGATTCACCGGCCTTTGAGTGGCTCCTTTTTTCGGTTGTCTGTGGCCCTTCATTCATATGTGGGTCCATGGGAACCCTGTTAGTGGTCTTGCTGGCCTGGGGGCCACCAGGGCCCTCTTCTTCCCTGCCACCTCTAAGGAACTTCATAGGAAGGGCACAGCCGCGGCTTTTGCCAGCTCTTTGTCCATGTGTTCACTAGGGCCAGGCTTGAAGCATTTGGGGCTCAAAATGGTTGGAGCAGTCCTTTCTTTCTCTCATTGTAGCTTCTTCTGCCTTCGTGAATTCCAGAGGTCTCTTCTCTTCTTCCCCTGAGCTCTAGCAGCCCCAGCTTGGGAGTCATTGCTTCTTAATAGTTGTAAATTGGTTGATTGTGGGACAGAGTAACACTGAGTACCATCTGTTCTGCCATCTTGATTGGAAGTCTTAACAGCACATTTTGAAAGTTGTAAAAAGTAGTTCTTCATACCATGTGTTTTTTGTTTTTTTTTTAAGTGCATTTGTTAATTGCTTTTTTAAAATTTTGCTTTATTGAAACAATGGTCTGATAGTGCATAGTGCATATATATAAGTACTGCCAAAACAATGTTTTTGTTTCTCATCTTTGGCATTATTGAACAAAATATAGGCTTCCTAGTGGTTGATCCTCTCTTTCGTATATTGCATAAACAAGGGTACTTCAAAAAGCTTATGGAAAGATTCATATTACATTTTAATTCATTTTTTCATGAACTTTTTGAAGTACCCTCATACAATTTTAGTCCCTTAAAAGTAAATATACCTGGGGCGGGGGGAGTGTGTGTGTGTGTGTGTGTGTGTGTGTGTGTGTGTGTGTGTGTGTGTGTGTGAACAAATATATGTAAGTATATATTCACAGTATTATGGTAAAAAATGATAACTGAAAATAAGTTAATTTGAATAATTAAAAAAATAAAATAAAGTAATTGACTGGGATTTTACTTCAAAATAAAATTGTATTGATTTTAATCCTGACATTCTTTGCTCTGGAATGTCCATTACTACATTTTCCTAGTTTGCCTCCTTTAAATGAATTGGGTCTTTTGTCTCTTTTTCCATACTTGACAGTATCCTGACAGTGGTAATGGGTTGGCATGGAAGAGTGCTCAGGTTCTAGGTATGGGATCCATAGATCTAACTGTCCCTTCTGTCTCACAACCTGCTTAGGTGAATCTGTCTCTGTAATTAAGCACACTGACCCCGTCCCTGACCCACGGGCTGTCAACCAAGATAAGAAGAACATGCTCTTTTCTGTAAGTGCTTTATCAAATGTATTTTTATTTGGAGACATTCTCAGAGTTCAAATGGTCCACAGATGTTAGTTTTCACTGCCTACCTTCAGTGGTCAGACTTTAAAGAGTATTGGCTGTTGTTCTAAAGGACAGTCACATTCTTCATGGTCAGTCTCAGCTGTCAGAAAATATCAATAACATATAATGGTGGAAGAATGTGTGATTTTAGATGTCTTTTAATTGGCAAGTTTTTGAGGACCAAAAAAATGATCAGGTCAAACATCTTTTAACTCTTATCTGTTTACATAGCTGAAAGTAAATTTGTTTGGAAAAGGCTTTTCCTATAAAAAAAGATGTTTTCAAAATGACGTGGATGATAGCTGTTGGTTGTGGCTGTTCACTATGAAAAGGTGTATGTTTAGAGAGAGTAAACATGGCAAACCATTAGCAATGGTGAGTCTAGGTGATAAGTATATGGATGTTCATTGTACTATTTCACTTTTTCTATTGATTTGAAAAAACTTTTAAATACATGGGAAATGCATGGCTTTTGGTTGTTTGGAATCAAGTGGTGGGCTTTTGTTGGATAGTATTAGAGCCTGAGTATCCATAGTAAGTAAGTACTATAGTGTTACAATGAAAGTAATGAAGCCATATCATTCTAACACTAGGAATTTGGGGAGGGGGACTGGCCAGTTAGTTCAGTTGATTAGCCATTTAACACCAAGGTCAAGGGTTCAGTTCCCAGTGCTGGCCAGCCACCAAAAATAAATAAAAATTTTAAAAAAAATTTTTTTTCCTTTTTTTAAATAAAGTAGGGTGGAGAGAGAACACTCACACTTGAATTCATTGATTTTTGAATGCTGGTGCTTGAGTAGAAGTCCTCAGGATAGCCCAAGATGCTGATTTCCTTTCATAAAGCTAACAAAAGTAGTGGAGGTTGAGCTGTTGGAGCCAGGGGTGGAGAATGCTTAGGGTTGAGAGCTATTTGGAGTTTTAAAAATTGGGAAGCGGAGGGGTTAGAGTACTGCTGCGCTCAAAGCTGATCTGCAAGTCAGGCTCAGTGTTGTGAATAGAGATCTAGGTGGGTCAATGTAGAGCTGCTCTGGGATAGGTAGGTCCTGCATGGAATCAAAATCAGAGAGATGTACCATACTGCCTACATGAGGTATTGTCCACTGTCAGATATTGCTCACTGTCGTAGTTGTATGGCTGGTAGCCTGAACAATACCCAGCGGAAGGCCTAGTAGAATGTGATGACAGAATCTGGGTGTCCTAGTCAAAATCCAGTGTCTTAGTATACTGGTCATTATTTTAGTTAGGATGTGGTGTTAATCTTGTGAATAGTTCTCCTCTACTTCTGTCCTAGGGTACAAACATTGCTGCTGGGAAAGCCATGGGAGTGGTGGTGGCAACTGGAGTTAACACTGAAATTGGCAAGATCCGGGATGAAATGGTGGCAACGGAACAGGAAAGAACACCCCTTCAGCAGAAACTAGATGAGTTTGGGGAACAGCTTTCCAAAGTCATCTCCCTTATTTGCATTGCGGTCTGGATCATAAACATTGGGCACTTCAATGACCCAGTTCATGGAGGCTCCTGGATCAGAGGTGCTATTTACTACTTTAAAATTGCAGTGGCCCTGGCTGTAGCAGCCATTCCTGAAGGTCTGCCTGCTGTCATCACCACCTGCCTGGCTCTTGGAACTCGCAGAATGGCAAAGAAAAATGCCATTGTTCGAAGCCTCCCTTCTGTGGAAACCCTCGGTTGTACTTCTGTTATCTGCTCAGACAAGACTGGCACACTTACAACGAACCAGATGTCAGTCTGCAGGGTAAGGGGGAGTAATTTAAGAATCTTCCTTGTTGTGGTTCTTTGTTCATCCTAACAATATTCCTTCATGCCATCAAAATCTTTGATTTATAATTTGATACCTTTCTGTGGGTTGTGTGTAGCCTGAGCCAAATTACCTGAGAGGAATTAATCGTTTAATTTCTAAAACTTTCTTGAAATACAGGATATCTACATGGCTGATATACTTATATCAGGGAGTTAACTAGAGGCATTCTGTACATGTATCATGTGACTGTGCTTCCTTTTTTGTATTCCTCATCCTCTCTGTCTAGGTATATGTATGTTAACAGACAAGTTCCAGAGGAAGAAGCTAGTTAACCTTCCTACCTGAACTCCTAATTGGTATTTCCATAACACATTGAATGAAGCATGCTTTCTTCCTGAAAAGTAAACAGTTGTTTCATTCTTTGTGTTCATCCTTCCTTATATTGTTTGACCATCATTTGAGGTAAAATAAGAAACCATTTAAACCCACCCTTAAAAAAACAATAACTGAAGAAATAATACAATAATGACCCAACTGAATTACATTCTTTTGTATAATTCAGTATTTCTAGGTTTTACTTAAATAACTTAGTATAAGTCAAAGTATAATTTTCTAAAATTTCAAAGACAAATACAGAGAGGACACCTGTCAAACCACCGATTTTATTTGGCTTATTAATTATTAGTGAGGGAATCTGTAAAACTGGTTACAGGAGCATATGAGGAAGTGCTTAATATTAGAATAAGATTGCTAGGTTAGATTATAAAACTCCTTAATGTCCTATAGGGAAATAAAATTACAGGTTATCTTCTACAGGACATAAATCTACAACTTCATATAATTTGAACCTTTACTAATAAACAACACAAACAAGGTTACATTTTCCTGGAGTGGGCCTGTTAAGTAATGCTTCTGTATGACATTGAAAGAATGCAGACATTTTCTTGGCCTTATCTAGATTTTGATAAATTTTTTTAGCATTGGAAATTGTTTTTGTTTTAATCAGTTAAACCCTGTGAATGCATATCTTGCCAGTTTTAAGTTCATGATGATTTTTAGATCCCCCAACTCCTTGTGAAGTCCAAACCCAGATTTGGAATTGATGGTAGGTGTTTAAAACACATTGGGGTGTTCCAGCTCTCAGTTGGTAGCCGCTATATTTGTCTTGGGTTTCTCCAGGAGGTAAGGGATTTGACTAGGTTGTCACTCCTTGGAACCAAAAGTTTGGCTAAAAGCTAGTTTTGTCATACTGGTTGTTTCAGGAAGAGAAAGGGAATTTCATGTCAACTATTTAGTTTCCCCTGGTAAATTTAACTTGGCCTGAAAGTTTTAATTCCTGATAATAGTCATAATGCTCATGAAAGTAAATAGTGTGCAAACTTGTAATCTTTATTAAAATTTCATTTTCCTTATTCATTATAAAAAATTTTCTTCTTACATTCTTTTATTCTCCCTTAAGTGTCTTGGTTTATGATGTTTACTTATAGTAAAGAAAAAGCCTGCTTGTCTTAAGTGTTCTATCTCACAACAGAAAGTTGATGATGATCAGTATTCCACAGGAGGGTTCTTGCAGTGGTATTGCATAACTGCGCTTGACTTAGGAAGATTTTCATCCTGCAAGTCCTAAGTGGTTTACTTGCTCACAATTTAAATTGCACAAGCACATTTAGATTTCGCTAATGTGGATTTGAATTCTGAATGTCCTTTAGAGTATTTGGGACTCTGGTATAGACCCAAAGAATTTCACTTTTTAAAAATAGAATGTCAAAGTAGCATGGTATGTATGAGGGGTCTTCAGAAAGTTCGTGGAGAGATTTGTTTTTGGTTTTGTTTTTTGCAGCTGGCTGTACTGGGATCTAACCCTCAACTTTGGTATTATCAGCACCTCTCTCTAATCGACTGAGCTGATGGGCCAGTCCTTATGTTGTCTTTTAGTTCTGTTTTTCCACAAATTTTTTGAAGTACCATTGTGTTAATAGTAATGCCAGCTTGCTTTGATAGTTCAGTGCAGTTAACTTTTCATGTGTCTTTATTTGACTTATGGCAGTCCTGCTGAAGAGATTAGAAAACTAAGACTTTGAGAAGTTAAGAGCCTTGCTGAGGGTCCCACAACTTTTAGTAAAGGGTTTTCTTATAGGAAAGATTGGTTCTCTCTCTTCCACTTAGTAATTGTGTAACCTTGAACACATTTTTTAACCTCTCTGGTTCTTTGTTTTCTCTTCTGTAAATGCCAGACATCTTTGGAAAAAGCATTTTTGACAAACTTCATTTTTTAGGTATTGTTAGGGAAAAATGTAGGAGTTGGATCTTGCTGTGTGTGTCCTTGGTCATAAATCTTTTCCTCATTTGATAAACTGAACTAGAATCTTTTGTCAGGAGTCATCACTGTTTTGCATTTCATTATATTTATTTTTTTAAAAACCATCTTGTAATGTCTCACTCATAGCTTTTTAGTTCTTTTCCAAGATTGATTTAGTTCTGAGTATGCTTTTGAAATGAAGCCTAAATTTAAAAGTATCTGCTATATAATAAGCAAATCTTATGAGGCAAAAGAAGTTATTTTAAAATGAAGATTAGCTGATTTTATTGTTGAAGTGCTCAGAAAAGATGTTTTTAAAGTATAGCGTGGCTTTTTTGATTTGAGTTTAACAGTTTTAAAATTCCTCCTTGGAGAATGATTTGATCATATTCTTACTTGCTCATACTTCAGAGAAATTTTGGCATGAAAAAGTATAGCTTAGATGTCACTTTTTGTGTGTTTTGGGGTGTTTTTTTTTTTTTTTGGAGGAAGTTTTATTGTTTTAATTTTCAGTGAAAATGCCAGTCTAAATCTTAGTCCTCCAAACTGGGTTTCTGAATTATAATTTGAAAGCAAACCAAGGAAAAAAAAACCATCTTTAAGAAAATAGCTTGTGTTACTTTATTCTTCTATAAAATTAAGAATTCTTTCTTAAGCATGCTTCCCATCTGTATTGCCTAGGGAACATCAATTTTTTTCAACTCTGCAGGCTCCTTACTGTGTATACATGTAGTTAGGCAACTTCGTAGAGCTATTGCTGCAATAAAAATAAGTGGGAAGGAACTGAGAAGCAGTTTCTCTTATTTTACTGAGGGAATGTTGATGCAACTCTGAAATGTGAGTTTATTCTTCCCAGTCTTTTGTGTGTAGCTCTAAGGCAGGACTACTTCATATCACTTTCTCAGCCAGCCATTTGGAATTTGGAATTCTGAACACTCTGAAGAGTAACCTGAGTCTTTGTAATTGACCTTTTGCTGACCAAGTGTCCTCTTAACTTGGGTTTTATGGAGGTTGTCTTCTGTGTCTTTGGTGCATTGCTACTTGTTACTGATTCACCATCTCAGTGATGCTGTTCCTCACATTGTTAGATTGATAGGGGCTGGGACAATACTTCTGGTGCTGAGCCTCAATTAATTAGGTTCACTAAAATTGTTTTCTTAGATAAGAAAGGTTTTTTACCTTAACCTACCAACGATTGTTTTATTCTAGCAGTATTTTTTTTTTATACATTTTAAATACAAACTCTTGTGCCTTTTTCACCTACAGATGTTCATTCTGGATAGAGTTGAAGGTGATACTTGTTCCCTTAATGAGTTTACCATAACTGGATCAACATATGCACCTATTGGAGAAGTGTGAGTGACCCTTCTTAGCATTTGAAGGATCCGTTGTGGCAGTTTGGTATTTGTATAGATTTGCTGTGTATCTAAAAAGTTGATAGCTTTCTGAATGTGGTTCAAGTCAACACTTACTATTAGAGTAGTACTTTATTTATGTGTGTGTGTGTGTGTG